CTAACTGTGGAAGTTAGAGGGATCGTGTGAAGAAAGTGGAGGGTTGAGTGTGAGGTGGCATCAGCTTCCAGGGGCTCTTTCCCTTTTCCCTTCACCCTCTCCAAATCCTTAGATACTTCTCCTTCCAGAAGTCTCAGCCACGGAAGTCACCTCCAGTTAAGGCAGTCCCCATCCAACCCCCTGGACTCCCAGAAAGGTGAGTGTGGGGTGGGATGCTTAGTAAGTGAGATTCCACTCTCAAGAGCTGTACCCCCAGTAGTTGTCCTGTGCCTGTCATCGCTGTCACCAGTGGGATTATACCTCCCTCCTCCACCGGGGGTCTCTTGTCTTCTCTCATCCTATCCCCTTCCCTGGTAAAAACTGAGCACTGGGCTTAGTTTCCCTCAAATCCTATTTCCTCACCTGCCTAGGGATTCTGTGGGCCAACTGCAGCTATATCGCCACCCAGACCGTTCACAGCCAGCGTTCTTGGATGCAATTGACCGACGGGAAGACACATTTTATGTTGTCTCTTTCCGAAGGGTGAGTTTCTCCTGCCAGCCCATCTCTGTCACCCCAGGTTCCCTGTAGTCCGTCTTCAGTGGGAGGGTGTGGAGTGGGGAGCCTGTTGGTCTCTTTCCCTCCACCCTCCCGGCCTGGCCCCTCTGTTCCCCAGGATCACCTGCTGCTCCCAGCCATCAGCCACAACAAGACTTCCCGGCCCAAGATGTCTCTGGTGATGCCTGCCATGGCCCCCAATGGTAACTCTTTCTCTGCTGGGTATGGGGGCAGTTCTAATAGGGAGATCCAGCCTGGGAGCTGAGGGGGAAGGGGGAGAGGAGCAAGGCATCCAGAGAGCTGCTAGACCCACAGGTGAGAAGCAGCAGGAAGTGGGTGGAGGGAAGAGCAACATGCAGGAGACTTTGGAGCGGAGAAGAGGGTGAGGGTCCTTCCCCGGTGCTTGGGTGGATGGCTGCGCAGAGGCGGGTAGGCCAGGAACCTGCTAGACTCTCACTTCCTTTTTTTCTCTTGCTGTCTTCTCCTGTGTGACCCCTACATTCATCAATGTCCTTGTATTTTCCTACCCCTCTCCTTGTCCCTGCACCACACTCTGCCCCTGCCATCCTGTTTAACTCCCACTATGGATCTGCCTCCTCACTACTACCCTTTCCTTTCCTCTCTGCTCACCTCTACTTTTCCAACCTCCTCCCCTCCTCCCTCCAATCCTGTTTGACTCCCCATCTTTTCTTCCTTAACTCTCGTCTTCTCACAGAGACCTTGTCAGGCCGTGGGGCCCCAGGGGACTATGAGGAGATGATGCAGATCGAGTGTGAGGTCATGGACACCAGGGTGATTCACATCAAGACCTCCACGGTGCCCCCCTCGCTCCGAAAACAGCCATCCCCCACCCCAGGCAATGCCACAGGTGGCCCCTTGCCAGCCTCTGCAGCCAGCCAGGCCCACCAGGCCTCTCACCAGCCCCTCTACCTCAATCATCCCTGACCTTTGCCATTCACACTGACTTAGAACGGGGGGAGGGGGTACTGGGTAGCCAGGTGGGACTGTTTCAAATTTCCCTGATCCCCAGGCTTGGGGCAATTGGTAAATGAAAGACCAGGTGTGGGGGTTAAGCACTTATTTGAGGTGGGGGTATTCACCTGTCTTCTCATCCCTTTTCAGAATATAGGGCTCTTCTCATTCCTATGAACCCCCAGTCCCGGATTCTTTCTTTGAGGGGATTGTGTGAGGTTCAGTTGTGGGGTGGATGGTGGGCTGCTGCATACTCTTTATTTTGTTCCTCTGTTTTGGCAGGTGGAGGTGGGAATTTAGTCCCCAGGTGGGACAAGGGAAGTTTTTGTATTTTGGAGCTAGTTATTGGGAGTAAGGGAGGGTGGCGGGGGGAGTACAGCTTTATGTGTGTGCATTTCTTCTTTTTTATTGTTAAATAAACAACTTGGAGGGAGTTGAAGGAATGGTGGCTGCCTTCCTGGCTCATGATGGGGAGTTTGGGGGAAAGTGATTTCTCCAGGGCCAGCATCAAAGAATCAAGCACTGAAGACATAGCTGGCTCTGAGGCGGGGTGGGTACGGGATCACAGACCGCATGTCATCCCTTTGCCCCCGCCCCTGCAACTCTGGGGTATATCTGTGTCTAGCAATGATGTCCCATGGCGTGACAGACTGGAGGATACACATCCGTGGAATGTGTCTGAGTCAACAGGAAAGATGGGGCCCCACGCCCTTCAGGGTCAGCAGCCTCTGGGTCTCCTGCTGTCGAGCAGGTTCTCCCCCTCATCTTGCTGTCCAGGACGAGCAGCTCCAACAAACAACAGGAACTGCGGCCAGAGGCTCAGAGCCCGGGAAGGAGGGGCCTCGGTGAAGAAGGGGTAATATTTGGAAGGGAAGGGGGATGTAGCAGGACATTCTCTAAGCCCTATACTGGAGGGGACTGAGACTTGAGAGTCCAGATCAAAGACAAAGACAAGAGTGGGGCAGGCAGAAAAGGCTGTACATTCTTTTTTTTTTTTTTTTTTTTATAATTTTATTTTTGGGACGGAGTCTCACTGTCACCCAGGCTGGAGTGCAGCGGCGCCATCTCTGCTTACTGCAATCTCTGCCTTCTGGTTTCGAGAGACTCTTCTGACTCAGTCTCCTGAATAGCAGGACTACAGACATGCACCACTGCACCTGGCTAATTTTTGTATTTTTAGTAGAGACGGGGTTTCACCATATTGGACAGGCTGGTCTCAAACTCCTGACCTCGTGATCTGCCCGCCTTGGCCTCCCAAAGTGCTTGGGATTACAGGCATGAGCCACTGCGCCTGGCTAAGCTGTACATTCTACTTAGGAGGAAGGGGAGTAGGAGAAAGTGAAGGGTTGAGTCTGAGGCCAACCTGGAGGAATCCCCCTCCAGCTGCTCCTGTCTAGCAGCGCCTCAGGCCTGACCCTGCAGGAGTGTCCTGGGTCAGCTGGAGGGTATGAGCTGGGCCTGGGCTCAATGCCCAGATGACTGGACAGGGGCTGCCCGGGCCATAAGCCCAGGCCTGAAGGAGGGAGGAAGAACCTCATGTGTCCAGCCAGGCATCCCCCCTCCCCTCCGCCTGCCCTCACCCGTTACTGTGTTTGGGGTGAAAACAGACCAAGTAACTATGGCAACCTGGAACTGGGGCTCCCAGGAACTAGACCTTTCCTCCCTCCAGAGGGCAGCCGGGCTTCTCAGCCATGCTTCCTATCCCAGAGTCCTTGAGCCTTATCCAGCCCTCTCTCTGGAGGGAGTGCAGTGAGAACAAGGATTTTGGAAGCACATCACCTGAGCTGGATTCGCTGCCTTGCCTTTCATTCGTAGATGTCCTTAAACATTCTGAGGCTTAGTTTCCTTATCTGTAAGAGGAGATGTTCCTACCTCCTAGTCAGGGTTAATGAGAGGATGAAAGACAGCGTCCTCAGTGCCTGGTCCATAATAGGTGCACCTTGTCCTTATCCCTTTCCCCGTTCTGCCCTCATCTCTGTTGTCCTTTTCTCCTCTGCTCCACTTTTATCCCATCTGGGTTTATCACTGATTGTCCCATTGCTTTTCCTCCTTCCTGACCCCAGTTCGGGCAAGTACTTGAAGTGCTGGCATCTCAGATGGGGGGCCCTGGGGTGGGGATCCTGCTCCTCTGCTGAGTGGCAAGGCACAGCTGGCACTTTGGTGTGAATAAGACATCGGACCTCTCTTGGCCGAGGGAGTGCAGTGGCAGGAGGGATTGAGAGGGATGGTGGGTGGTACCCGGTGCAGGGTGAAAGCAGGGCAGGCTCTGGGCTGCTTGCTGCCCTCAGGCCCATGTGGCTCTCCATTCCTCTGGCTTTACCCCAGAGCCACTCAGCATGCCAGGCCACTGTCACTCCTGCACCTCATTGGCCCCTCTTGCCCTGTGCCCGCTTTGTCTTTCTGTTCTGCTTTCATTGTGTCACTATCTTCTACTTTTCTTCCTCAGGATCCTGCCTTTTGTTTTCTCTCATCCCTGGATTTGTCGTTCCTCTCTTCCTCTTTCTAGATTTCTTTCCTGCCTTTCTTTGCTCTCTATTTCATTACCAGTTATCACTACTTCTTGTAGACCCATTATTCATCACTGTTTTTTCTTCTTTTGTATCTTCCCCCACTCCATCCACGCTTCACTGTCATTAAAATCTTTTTTATGTAAAAATAGAGGTGGGGTCTTACTATGTTGTCCAGTCTGGTCTGGAGCTCCTGGCCTCAGGCAATCCTTGCATCTTGGCCTCCCAAAGTGCTAGGATTATGGACATGAGCCACCACGCCAGTCTTATTTTATTTTTTTTAAACTCACTGTCTTTTTCCTTTGTTTTTCTTGGTCTTCTCATCTGCTGCTGCCGCTGACCCTGTGCTTGCCTCCTCCCTTTTCATGCCACCCCCTTTCTGTTTCGTATTCTACTCCTTCATCCACATTCCTTGCTCTTTTCCATTATTTCCTTTTTTCCCCCACTTTGGTCCTCTCCTCCTCCTTCCTTCCCCCACGCCCTTCACTTCCCACACCAATTCTCTGTCCTCTTCCCAGCTGTGGGGGCCAGGGCTGGGGAGCCTAGTGTTTGCCTCATCGTTCTGCTATGGCTTCTGGATACAGCACATCTGGATTCCGGGGCCCAGATGTGTGGTTGCCACAGCGACCTGGGTCCCTCTGGTAAATACAGGCGCCCACCCGCCCAGAGCAGAGAACAAAACAATTGTGTGACTTTCTTTTGTCACGAGATAGAAATGTCCTTCCTCCTCCCTTCTCCCCACACCCATGTCTCCAGGCAAAGGAAGTTTTAAGGGTCCAAACCCTTCTTTCCGAGGCTCTCTTGCCCCCTTTTCAGCTGTAGCCTCTTAGTTCTCTCCCGTCTTTCATCTGGGCTCTTTTCATTCTGTGTTCCCCATCCTCATCCCACCCCCAGTTCTCAATATTGGAATGTTGACCACCCCCTTCCCCATCTGATGCAGTTTCTTCTAACTGAATCTACATAATAACTGGATGCAGAAAGAAGTTTCAAAAAGCTGGATTCTCCACCTTCTTTGCACAAGTCCTTCAAGAAGCCACTTCATTTCTTCCCTGTCTTCAGATCTTTCCTTTCCTGGAGTTGTTTGGGGAGGGGAGTGAAAACAGGCTTAGGAATCAGAACACCTGGGTGAGACCCACCTTCACCACCACTAATTTAGCCCCTTGAACAAGACCCTTAATGTCTGTGAGTCTCCATTTCCTCAGCCACAAAGTGGGATTAATGCCCGCACTGTGTAGGAAACTGTTTTGTAAACGGAAGCCCGACACAAGTGTTTTCTATCTTTCCCCTCTCTGGGACTGCTTCCTTGGACTGCAGCCCCTGGCATCTCTTCTTCCCCTGCATTCATCTTTCAGGTCCTTGCCCTCAGTTGCCCTTACACTCTTCTGTGTCTGCCTTCTCTCCTCCCTATCTTTCCTTTCCTTTTCTCTATCTTTCATTGCTTTTTCTTCCTGAGGTCAGGACAGGAACTTGGAGGATCATTCAAGGAAGGAGGCTCAGAGCTGAAGACACAGGGACTGAGGATACGGAGAACAGCCAGAGCTTGTGGACAGTTCTCAAAAACACTGACCTACTACCTACTACCACCACCCAGGATACCTCAGTGAAGCCAACCCCAGCTCTGCCCACTGGGCTTTCCTGCCTTCACGCCTGGGCTCCTTAATCTTTCCCCTCCTCTCTCCCAGTCCTTTCATATTTCAGTGTTGGCTCTAATTTATTGGTCACCTACACTATGCAAGACTTGGTGCTTTTCTTTTCTTTTCTTTTTTTTTGGAGACAGAGTCTTGCTCTGTAGCCCAGGCTGGAGTGCAGTGGCGTGATCTCGGCTCACCCCAACCTCCACCTCCCAGGTCCGGGTTAAGCAATTCTCCTGCTTCAGTCTCCTGAGTAGCTGGGATTACAGGCACGTGCCACCATGCCCAGCTAGTTTTTGTATTTTTAGTAGAGACAGGGTTTCACCATGTTGGACAGGCTGGTCTTGAACTCCTCACCTCGTAATCCATCCCCCTCAGGCTCCCAAAGTGCTGGGATTACAGGCGTGAGCCACCTCGCTCTGCTGGCTTGGTGCTTTTCTTACAAGATGTGAACATATAAGACATGAGCTGCTCCACGAGCCTGGAAACCAAAGGGTGAATCAAATGGTAAACAATGATAATTTCAGAACCTGAAACTGTATCTGCCAAGCTTCCAGTGGTTTCCCCAAATGCCTTATAAGCTTGTGAACATCTGGAATCCCACATTTCTCTCTGAGACTCCAACAGTGGGCTTCCGGAACATCCCAGGACTTCTGGCTCTCCTCTCTGGGGTCCCTGGCCACTCTCTGTGCCAAATGTATTTATGTTGACCATTCTTCCTAAATAATAAAGCCAGGACATAGGGCATAGGCACACACAAAAAAAGAAAAAGGATATGACCATGGAACAGAAATCTGAAGGTGTCAGAAGAAATTCATACTCTGCGTTCTGCCCTCTGTGTGCGATGCTGTCTCCAGACCCTCCCTCATCCTTTCCCTGCTGTGCTGCCCACCTCCTGCCAGGAGATCCTTGGGAAGCTGCTACCTACTCCTGGCTCTGGGGCCTTCAGGCCAAGGCAGAGGAAGGAAGCTGAGCCTGGCTCTGTGCAAGATGCTGACTTCATCCTCCCCATCAAAGCCAGGAAAAAAACAGCCACACACACCCAGACACACGGACACACACGGGGACACCCACGCGAAAGCCCATGTGTGCCTTTGCCCTCGGCCACATGGAACTTACTAGGCATCTGGCCACAGCTGTATGCTGTGCAGGAACTCCCTGACCCAGGAACACTGCATACCTGTCACCATGGGGATCTGACCTGGTGTGCAGACACCTGGGCTGCCACCCATGTGGCAGAATCAAACACATATGGGCTTCTTCACGTCCCTTTCACTATCACCTGTGACTTGGCCAAGTTACACCTCAGTAGTGAGGTTTGCAGCAGGATAGAGAGACTCAGTCCTTATTGTGAAGCTGGGGATACTGGGTTCCCACTTAGCTGGGATATTTCTTCTCTGTAGCAAAGTCTCTTTTTCAGCCCCTTGCCAGAGCAGCACATGGGAAGAGGAAACCAGGGAAGCACCCAACAGATTATGTGGGGTGTGTCTATCTCCTTGTCTGCCCTGTCCTCTGGCTATCAGTCTTTTGTCTGCCTGGAACCAGAGACAGTGCCCGTTTCCTCCTGCACCTTCCTCTCCCCACCTCTGCTCCTGCTCCCCTGCAGCACTCAGGCACCAGCGCCCCACCCTGCTTTCCACCACTTAACCCTCTACTCAGGTGACCCACCCTTATGTGTGCCTCCTGCCTTTAGCCCTTTCTTCATCCCCAAACCTTCCTGCTAACCTTCAGGCTTTCCTTCCTTGTCTCCCCTAAACCCCAGCTTCCTCCCGAAGGCTTCTATGTCCCAGTGTTGACCCAAGTCCTTGCCCTGCCAGTGCCCAAGCCTCACGTGTGCTTTCTCTGGGAACTTGCTGAGGTGGGAGAATGCAAAGGGGCAGTGACTGGAGAGGGGCTGAGCAGAACAGACAGCAGGAGTGGCTCGGGGGACGGGATAAGCAGAGAAGATAGAAATGGTGGGACTAGGGGAGGGCGGGGACTTGGGGTCCTAGAGAGAGTCCCAGATGGAGAAGGACGTTGTCTCCTGCCCCCTGCCCCCAACCCCTGCTCCCTGCCCTGGACTGCCAAGGGAGAATTGGTGAGAGGATGAGGGAGCCAGCGCTGGGTGACAGACGTGGGGTGCGATCCAAAGATCCAAGCTAGAGCAGTGGCTGGGAAGAGGTGGGAGGGGAGCATGGGGAAGGGAGGGGAAGGGGACTGGCCACGAGGAAGGATATAGGCTGAGAGGAAACCACTGGGGTCAGAAAGGAGGGGCAGCAGGTGCGGAAAAAAGAAATGGCAGGAAGGGTGGGGGATGTCAAGTTGGGTAAAAATTGGGGTGAGAGTAAAAAATGGGATAGGGAAAGGACATGGGAGGTAAGACCAGGGCTGGGAGTTGAGATGAGGGTATGGTGAGACAGTGGTGCCAGACAGGGAGTGGGGGGGCTGGGGTGAGGGCAGGAGAAGAGGAGGGGTGACATGTGGGAGGGCCTGGGAGGGGTGGGAGGACCTGCCCTATCTCCGCTCCCCTCCCTGACCTCATCCTGGTCCTCCCCTTCTCCTCCCCTGCTTGCTGCAGACTCCCTCCTTCTCACTGTCGCTACTGAGATCCACAGTCAGTTGTGGCTCAGCCCCTGTTGCAGTGGACAAGTGAGGGAGACTTCCCTGTCCTGCCCTGAGACGCCCCCCTCCTAGGGTTGGGGACAGAGCAGGTGCAGAGGCATTGCAGCTGCCCAGTTGCCCAGGTAAGGAACAGAGCTCTGGGGAGACCCAGAAGGAGAGGCAGGGGATTTCTCACCTGTTCTTACATCCTAGGTGAAGGTGTGGCAGGTGAGCTCTCAGCAGTGCTTCCAGGGCAAGGACTTCTGCTCAGGACAGGATAGGAGCATTCACTATGGGAGTGAGGGGACAGGGAGTCAGGGGACCATGCTTCCTGTGAAGGAGTGTCTGGGAGGCAAGGGTGGTATGTGTGTGTTGGAGTGGGTGGTGTATATCAGGGTGGGGGGTGTGTGTCAGGGTTTGGATGGGATGCAGACAACTGAGAGGGGTTGGGAACAAACCGAGGGACTCCGGGAGTCAGATGGTGGAACCAGGATAGAGGTGGTTATTGGTAGGTGAGCCCCTGGGCCCTGGAGGTGCTGGGGCTGGCAGGAAGATAGGGCTGGGCTGAGCTGGTGGCCAGCTGAGCCTCAGAAGGAAAGTGCTTTCGGAATCCGAAGTGCTGGGCTGGAGCAGCTGAGGCCAGGTTCTGGGCTCCAGGCTTCCGGCTCCAGGAGGTGCCAGAGGGTGCTTCTTTGGACATCCAGATAGGGACTCCCTAGGTGGCAGCGTGAGAGTTGCAGGGAGGGAGGTCGGGGAGATCTCTTCAGGAAATGCTGAAATGGGACAGTCAGGACTCTCAGGTCTGGGCAGTGCACAGACCCTGCAGAGAGGATCCTAAAACTTGTTCTTGGCCAGAGCTCTACACTCATGACTCACAGTTCAGCGGGGTTGGGATGGCTGAGAGATGCCTCTGGGGGTACAGGGGCTCCGTCTTCACTCTGTGCTCCTTCCAGGCTCCCCCTGCCTCTGTCTGAACCTGAGCTCTCACCCCCGACCCCTCCCACCCCCACTCCTGCCGCCACCAGTACACGTGACACTCCCCGGGTGGGGCGGGCGGGCCCCTTATCTTGCCTGGAAAGAATTTCATGGCATAGAAACAACTGGAAGTGGAACTGAGAGGAACTACTGGGAAGCAACTCGGAAACACCACAGCTGCTGCCCGGCCCGCCCCTGCTTCCCGCATCTCCAGCCCCTCCTCTTTTCCCTGACCCTGCCTCCAAGTGCCTGCGGATCCAGCACCTCAATTCCTCCAACTTCCTTCTGCTCACCCTGGCCACTAGGGTGCGGGACCAGAACTTGCCTTCCTGTCTCTCATTGCTCCCCTAACCATTTTCAACTGGGGGCAGGAAATCCTTTCTCTTAATTTTTCCATTCCTAGGCTGATTAGCTCCCCAGAATAAAGGCCATCTGGATCCCCCAACCTACACCTCCCTGACACCTCCCTCCCACCTGGTTCCAGCCCAGCATCTGGGACCCCTACATTCCCTTGTAAGTCTCACTCCTAGAATTCTTCTACCTTCACCTCTTATTGCCAGATTCAACTGGGGGTGTAGCAGGAGGGTAAGAGGGAGGCATGGAGGTGGGGCCAGAACCCCCATCTCTGGAACGTCTCTTATGGAAGCCAGCCCCTCTCCCCACCCCTTGGGACCTGTACAGTCCCTAATGAGCAAAGTGTCAAAGTTGGCTACAATACCAAATACCCAGGAAGCTGAGTCACAGTTTGGGACGATGCCCCCATCCCTGCCAGCCCTCCAACTGTGGGGAGGGTGCCAAGAGGGTGAGGCCATGCCCCCCCTCCACACACTGCAGAGACCCACCCCAGACATAGCAGCAGGGGGAATGGTGAAGGGGAGACAGAAGAGACATCCAATTCTTTGCTTGCCCAGTACTGAGAAAAGAGCAAAATTCTTTCAGGAGCTGGAAGAGGGAGCTGGAGGGGTAGGTGGTGGCAACAGGGCAGGGAGAGATTGGGAAGGAGCCTCTGTGTGTGTGGTCGATGGAGGCTGCTCTGCTCTTCTAGTCCAGTCTCACCATCTCTCCAGAAAAGCTGGTGAGCTGTCTTCACTCCTTCCTGCTGCAAAGATCCTCTCTCCTTCCCCATACCGAGGAGGGAAAGCTGAGGAATCCAATTATTTGGGGAGGGGCACTGTACAACTCACAGAGGCCTCCAGGGGTACGGGGAAGTGTGGCGGAGGCCATGTGTCCTCTGCTCCCCACTGGAGAAGGGCCTCCTGTTTGGTTCCTCTCACACCGTCTAGGTTCTTTCATTCACACAGCTGCCCTCGGAGCCGACAAGAAATCAACCTTCTTAGGTGCCACCCAATGACTCGGTGTGGAGGAAACCTGAAGGGGAGGCTGTGTGTGCGTGTGCATGAGCACCCTTATGTGTGCCTGCAAGGATGCAGGCTTTTGGGGGTGGATTTGTGTGTCTCTGTGCAGGTATGTTTATTTAGTATTTGTGGATGAACACATGAATATATTTGTAAGTGTACGTATGTACCATGTTTGTGTAAGCACTCCCATGGTGTGGAGTGATTTGCATGGCCTTAGACTTGAAGTGACAGGATGTGAGGGTAGGCCAGAGCCCACCTCTTACCCAAGGCTGCCCTCCAGGCTGCGAGAGGGCCGGGGCACAGGAAAGGGCAGCTCTCTGCATTCCTGGCCTCTCGGCCTGAGCTTTCTTGGGTGGGGAGCCTCTTGGTGTGGAAACACTCTGTCCCTGTGCAGCTTCCCTTCCGTCTCTTGCTGGCTGGTAGCAGAAGGTGATGGCTGGTAGCCCTGAAAACTCCTTTTTCTCTGATCCAGGAGAAAAGTTTAAAAGTGGAAAGCCAGAAGATGTGTGCGTGTTGGGCAGGGGTGTGTGTGTGTCACAGTCACCTCCGCCTACCAGTGACACATCCCCCGCTCCTCACCAGCCAGGATTTCCACACCCACCCTGCCCTCCTTTGTCCAGCCTCTGGTCTGGAAGAGCTGGGCACCTTTCAGCATCTCCTCAACTCTTCACCTGAGCTGAATCTTGACCGGCCTCCTCACACTCCTGTTTGCCACAGCCCTCTCTCCTGTCTCATCCTGGGACTCCCCCAGCCCCCACTACCTTTCCTCTCACCTCTTGTCTCTCTGTGCTCCCCAATCCCTGCCTCAGTAAACTCCACAAACAAACACAACTGGGTAACCATCATTCAGATCAAGAAACAAGACACTTTTAGCACCATTGCCCCACCACACCCCTGCTAGTCACCACCCCCTCAAGAGTATCACACTTCTGACGTGAGGCACTACAGAATAATGTTGCCTCTCCTCAAACTTCACAGAAATAGAACTATTCAGCGTGTTCCTTCCTGTGTCTGGCTTTTGTTCAACCTCATCTTGGTGAGCTCCATCACCCAACTGCATATAACTGTAGTTCATTCCTGCTTTATTTTATTGCACTGTGTGAATAAGCCACAATTTATTTAATCTATTCTACTGATGTGAAATGTTTGAGTGGATCGCAGTTTGGGGCTATTATGAGCAGCACTGCTGTGTTGGGTATATTCCTAGGAGTGGAATTGCAGGATCAGAGGGTTTGCATGTGTTCAGCTTAGTACATTTAGTAGGTTCCGTCAAACAGTTTTCCAAAGTGCTTGTACCATCTGGTCCTGCCAGGATGTGCCCTGGCCTGGCTTGATTCTGCCTCTGCCCTGGTGGCTGTGTCTAACCAACTTCCAGTCCCAGACACTGTCCGTGGTCCTAGCCCTAACCTTGGTGCTGCCCTTGGTTCCAGCTTTAATGCTAGTCCTGCATTTAAATTGAACTTTTCATTCATTCATATAGTCAGTAAATATTTATTGAGCACCAATTATGTGCCAGATGCAAGGATACAGCAGCCAAGAAAAAAAAATAGGGTGCCATGCCTGCCTTCATGGACTTTATAGTCTGGTGGGCAAGAAAGTAATAATAATCTCACAGTATATTTATTTATATATTACTTTGGACTTCAAAAAAATTAAAAAAAAATTTATTTATATATGGTTACAAGTTGTTATAAATGCTGCAAGTGAGAATGACATGATGCTGTGATATCAAATGATAGGAGGACCTGGTCAGGAAAACTTCCCTGTGAAAAAAAGGGCAGGCTGAGACCTGAGGATGAGAAGGCCAAGAGAGAAGGGCACAGTGTTCCACACAATGGACCTGTGTATACAAAGGTCTGGGGTTGGGGATGGGCACAGAGAGTGTGAGGGGTTTGAAGGTCAGTGGGGCGTGGGGCTGGAATGGAGAGAGAGAGGGAAATGTTATGGGAGGTGAAGTGGGGCAGGGGCCACATGAGAGTAGCTATTTGTCAGTGTTCTAAGAGAATTTGGAAGGGAGACACAGAAGCATTTTGAGGGGAGAGACATCCTAGTTGCCTCTGTGAGACTGTAGAGGGCAAGAGTGGAGGCAGAGGGGAGAGTCAGGGCCTGACACAGTGGTTCACGTCTGTAATTCCAGCACATTGGGAGGCTGGAGTGGGAGGATTGCTTGAGCCCAGGAGTTCAAGGCCAGCCTGGGCAGCATAGCAACATCCTATCTCTTAAAAAAAATTAAAAATTAGCTGAGCATGATGGCACACACCTGTAGTCCTCAGCTATTCAGGAAGCTGAGGTGGGAGGCTTGCTTGAGCACAGGAGGTCAATGCAACAGTGAGCTATGATCATACCACTGCACTACAGCCTAGGTGACAGAGTGAGACCCTGTCTCAAAAAAAAAAAAAAAAAAAAAAGCAGCCAGGAGGCAATTGCAATTGTCAGGCAAGAGGTGGATGTAAGCTTGGATTAGAACGAAAGTAAGTGGGAGAGAAGGAAACGAATTAAAGAGAAAATACGGGTAGATACAAGGAAACATGGTGGCACTGAATGGGCTGTTAGACTTCTGGCTTGTAAAGCTGGATGAATGGTGGGGCTCTGAGCTTTGAAGGGGAATTCTGGGAGGGGATGGGATACAGGAAGGTGACGGTGAATTCAGTTTTGGCATGGTGAATTTGAGGTGCCCAAGTGGAGATGCTAAGTAGGCAGGTGGATAGATTGCCGTGAGTGAGAGGAAGATGACTGGGCTATTTTACAAACTGGTATATAGTTTGGAAATTGAAGTCATGAGTCTGGATGAAGGTACCAGGTGGATGACC